CGACCCCAAGGTCACCCCAGGGTCACGTGACCCCTCCCCAAGGGTCACGTGACACCCCAAGGTCACGTGGCTCCCCAAGTCACGTGACCCCCGATGACGTCATCAGTGACGTCACTGATAACGTCACCGGCATCCGCATCGTCATCATCACTGATGACGTCATCAGTGACGTCACTGATGACGTCACCGGCATCCGCATCGTCATCATCACTGATGACGTCACCGGCATCCGCATCGTCATTGTCATCATCACTGATGACGTCATCAGTGACGTCACTGATGACGTCACCGGCATCCGCATCGTCATCATCACCATCCGCATCGTCATCATCGCTGATGACGTCATCAGTGACGTCACCGGCATCCGCATCGTCATCATCACTGATGACGTCATCAGTGACGTCACTGATGACGTCATCGGTATCCGCATCGTCATCGTTACTGATGACGTCATCGGCATCGTCATCGTCACGTGACCCCTCTAGGTCACGTGACCCCCACCCAAGGTCACTTGACCCCCCCCCCCCAGTACCCTTCCCTCCTCCTCCTCAAGAGCTGCGCCCTAATTCGGCGTTACAGGGAGTTGTAAACGGCTTTCACTTTTTTTTTATTTCACACGCAAAATGCTTAAAAGAAAAACAAGTTCTTTTTTTTTTCAAAGTAACATTTTAGATTTGTTAGAATGCGACGGGAGCGGTCGACCGGTCGTGTCCGCTTGCGTCACCTCGACAAGAGAGATCTCACCTTCGACGAGAAACGTTCGCGCGTCGCTAGCAGCAAGTGGACGGCGATCGCTGCCCGCCTTGCTGGGTCTTCTAAAACGTTTTTGACGTGCATCTCCAGTAGAAGTGCAATGTCGTTCTGTGCTGAAAATCTCGGTCGCGAGGATCCCGCCGACGTCGCGCTCACGACGCCACCAAAGCGGTCGCAGTCGCGGTCCAGGAAGTTTCCATTTTTTTTAACTATGCTCGTCTTGGCTGTAGCCAACTTTTGATCACGAATCCTTCTTGGAGGAGCGCAAAGACTCTTTCCGTATACGCACACAATTTCTAAAAAAAAAAATAGCGTACGCTAAAATAGCGTGCGCAAAGCGCATGCGTAGTGGTGACGACGACGCTATGCTTTGCGTACGCGAAGCTTTAGCGTGCATGCGCTATTCTAAAACTGCCTAATATTGTTATTTTGAGGATCGTTGCAGATAAGGTCTTTTGAGTGGTTGAGTGTATACAAAGACGCTTTCATTAACGAGGAACGCTGTTAATGCGATGGCACGTCACCGCAATTTACTGGTGGCTCATTTAAAGGGGATTCGAAATTCCGAGCGCGTCATGTGGAACCGCTTTATGGCGACATCTATTTCTGCTGTATAAGTTTCTGTGCATGCACCTCTTTGGCTGAGACGTTGCCACGTCAAAAAGAGGGACTAACTTTACCCGGACATCTGGACACGAGGGACAGGGTAGATAACCTTATTGCGCCGTCAGTTTGCTGGGGCGAATAAATGAGTTAGTTCCCTGGGAACCAACTGATTTATTTGCCCCGTTATTCGGCACGTTCGTTTTTATGTCGAGGGTCGGTTTGTTTTTCTGCTTAACGGGCGCTGCGGAACTGCTCGCGATCATGACTCGTGTACAGCAAGTTCTGAATGCAAACAACATTTTTCAATGCCCCAATGTAGAGCTGCAGCACGTATGAAATTGAACCTTACTGCTTCATTGGTTTTCCAACGCCAACGAAACGTTCCGCAGTGAACACTCGGGCAAGCAGGTAGACGTTCCTTCGAACTGGAAAGGCCGAGATTGGGAGCTTGGCAAAGCGACGGCCGTGTAAACACCAAAGAAAATAAATGTTCTGGTAATTTTTGTAAAACGAAACTTGCTTTTTGTTTTTCGGGGAATTCGGTCCGAAAGGATTGGCAGCGAACTTTATAAAGTTTTTGCCGATTGTCCCACAGGTCACGACTTTGATAGCACCATATGCTTTAACAGTTAATGTCAATTTACATGGATTTGTTAGGCTAGCTAGAGAGCAATTCCATTGATTTTAGACTAATTTTACTCTATAACTTGCTAATTAAAAATGCTATACTTGGCACCCGCGATAATTTGCCACCTTTGGATTGCCATAGCGGTTCGTGCGTTCGAAATTAGATGACAAGCAAGAACTTATATTTTAATTTTATTAATATTAATACGTTAATGCAGGCCCCCAATAAACACCCCAATCACAAAAATAGGCAATTTATCCATAATAGTCTTTACTGAAAGCTCTAATTTTTTTTAGCATATGCAAAAACTGTGACATCGTTATCAAGATATCACTAAACACAAGATGTAATATGCAGTTCTATACGTCAAACGTTGTCGAAAAAAAAAAGTTAAGTTGGACACTTATGTCAGAGAATAAAGTTTCCGCGAACAATGCTTAGCAAAATAATTAAGCCGTGAGACGCATCTTGAATTATGAGTGAAACTGAAATTAACGTCCATATTGACACATTCACTCCAAAATAGAAGTTAGCTTCGGTTTTCTTCCTAAATTAAAATGTACCTCCTGGCTCATTTAAACTACGCTAAACGTCATTTTTGTTTTCAGCATAAAGGAAAGCAGTGTGCGTAACACCCGACCTTCTCCGTATAGACCTTTCCAGCGGCAGTCTCGAACGAAGCGATTTACTGCGCGCGTCCCTGGTTTTGAGAGTGTACGTCAGTGTTGCCCGACTGCGCTGGGCTGTGGATTTTTTCGACAGTAGGCTGTGGTAGCCTGCGTGGGCGCAATTCCGGACGCTGGTGGCGCTAGATTGCCGCATTTGTTTTGTTTTCTATAGGGAAGAGAATTTCTCGGAGGTTTTAAGAAAGCATTGCACTATTTTTGGGAACAAAAACTAACAAATGAAAGCTATTTTCAGCGAATGCGTGCGCAACAGAACAAACGCAACTGGAATGTTTGTTTCATTTTATGTTGATCTTTTTACCGGCATCATACACTCAGCCGTGTCAATCTATAAAAGTCTTAACTGCCTAAAATATTTGACGACACTACAGGATAGCCGAACTGCATGGGTATTCCCCGCTCACAACATGAAATTCAACGAGTCTCATCAATTGAACAACATATATTGTACGTACCCCACGGTGCCGCGCTATCCGAACAGGATTTGAGAAAGGTCTCAAATAACACAGCATGTCCAATATACAGTGTCGACGATCGGACCGTCGGACGGAATCCGGCTTGTCTTGGGGTACGTTTTGAAGAGTGATGTTTTTTTTTTTTTTTTTTTCCACAGCACTAAAGCAAATGAACGAACGTGTCTATTCAGTCCCCATACCCCGGACCCTATCAGCTACTTCTCGCCAAGACCGGGAACATAGTCGGGAAGGCTTTTTGGAGATTATTTCAACGGAAATAACCCTCGAAGAACGTATTATGGATTTTGTGTTCGAGAAGATATTATAACCGGAATGGCGATCCTAGTACCGACGGTATCACTACACTGTATGGAGTAAAGCAAATATACCAGAAACATAAAACGTGTCAAATGCATTTATTTTGCAACAGCACGAAGTAAAAAGCCAGGCATATATTTTATTTTAGCAGAAGGCCAAAACGTAACGCCTTTCCAAAATACATGAGCATGCATCGCCTATCACAGCACTCAATGCACCATACCACAACCTTAACGAAAATCACTATTCATGAGATATTAAGTAGTATCAATAAAAAGAAGCCGCTTGCTGTGTCCATAGCAGCCGTCAGATATGACACACACTTTAAATTTCAAACTTTGTATAATAGACTGTATGAAAAAAAAAAAAAATTAAAAAGGAGGGGGGGGGGGTGTTCGCGTAAATGGGAATGATGTGCTATCATTTCTGTGCGTCGAATAGTTCCTTAATGCTCGACCATTTCGAGAGCCAAATAATATAATAGTTGTACGGCACCCAACTTATATAGTATAGTAGTGGTGCATCAGCATGGCATACTCAAGATCCACTATGCCGAAATTGAATCATGTAGGAAGCAACAGATTTCCACTCCCCGATTCCGATGACTCCCAAGTCAAGTTCCCTGATAATTCTCTGAACTTTTCGGGCCCCCAGAGGTGCTGTAACCATTGCAGATTTTTCTCCCTTGATGAACACTCTGGACACCACCCCGGTGGTCATATATGCCATCAAAATAGGCACCTTTTTTTTTTTTTGTAGACAGGTTGCTGTTGCAAATGACATACTGCATGAGTTCGGTCCCGCACCAAGAATCCTCAATTGTTTCAGTAATACAAGGCACTGAGTAGGTTTATAAGGATTACAGCTTCTGGCAATCTTCATGGAACAATGTGAGGTTATTGCATATCACCATGCAGGGGCGGATCCAGAACTCAGTTTTTTTTGTTTTTTTTTTTTTTGGGGGGGGGGGGGGGAGAGCGGAAAATTTGTAGGGACACTATTTTCCCATTCTTTCTCGGGCGCCGGCGGGTCTACCCATGTCAAATTGCCCTCCGAGGAGGGGGAAGGGGGTCGTTTTCGTTGGGGGGGGGGAGGGGGGGGGGGGGGGGCGGCCGCCCCCGTCGTCCCCCCCCCCCCCCCCCCCCCTAAATCCGCCACTGCATATCACACACAGGGAAGAACCCCTCGCACGAACAGCCATAAATAGGCTGGATACACACCAACATGCGCATGAACTCATCAACATGCTAAAGAAGCTGACGCGTGATTGAGCATAGAATTTGATCTTGTGTGCGCGGCAGCGCTAGGTAACTCGACAGTATACATTCATACCGGGTGTTTCAGCGGACTTTAAACATCCTTAAGAATAAGGTGGTTGAGCAAAGATATTCTTTACGACATGCAGTGGTTCTCAAATGGGGGTCCGCGAAGCCTGCCTCATCAGTCAAGCCCGGCAATAAAAGTTCAGATGAAAAGAAATTTTTTTCAATTTCCGGGCGAGTTTTTTTAGTGCGTATGTCAATAAGAGAAGTCTACTTCACACTAGCCCTTAATTATATCCATTTATTAAATCATTATTATATTTAACCTACACCTTTCCTCTCCCCTCACCACGAACGGGGTCTCCATCATCTCCTCCGATCCACAAGGGGTCCGCGAAACATCGATGGTTGAGAACCACTGCTTTACGGGACCAAACTGCCAGCAACAACAAACGTCAAAGATTGCAAAAAAAAAGTATAATTTGCTGTATTATACATTTTTAATTAACTTTTTAATAAGTGAAAATAAACATGTGCTTCCATTAGAAGCTTGCTGAGCATAAGGCACGTCCCATAAACCAATACATTTTACAAGGATGTAAGGCACGTACAGCATTTTACGGTGCTCCGAAAAAAATGCTCAATTCGGACGCGTTTCTAGGTTTCGGTTTCCTATAGGAGCGCATATTTTGCGTCAGCGGCCCTGTCTCCATGTGGTCGAGGCGCGCAGCTGCCGACTCGCCTCCCTCGTAGCATAACCTCCGAGATCCCGAAGCGCGCGCGCGTTTCGGGATCTCGGAGGCCATGCTCGTAGAACGGAAGTGTGGTGCACGTGCGTTGCGCGCCTCGGTCACAAGGAAAGGAGCGGGAGGGTGGGGGGAAGGGGGGGGGGAGAACTGCTCGTGGAAAGATCCACTCCGCCAGAAGACTGAAAACTAGAAACACGCCCAAATTGAGCGTTTCTTCGGTACGCCGTAAGATGTTGCACGTGACATAGCTTTCTAAAATGTTTTGATTTATTGGTTTCCGATGGTGCTCAAGAAGTTTCAAATGGGAACCATGTTGATTTTCACTAATTAAAGTTAATGAGTAAATGTTCGTCTACTTTTCAGCTAATTAATATTTAAAAATCGAACTATACGTTTATTTTCACAAATTAAAGGTATGCGTAAATGTTCGTAAACTATTCAGCTAATTAGTATGTTTTTTTCTGAAATCTTTGACGTCCGCCGTGGCTGGCAATTTGTTCCCGTAAAGTTACCTTTTTTCCCAACCGCCTTATTTCAGGGATTTTTTTAATCGTCGCTAAAACACCCGGTATAATAGTCAACCCAAGTACGCAAGCAACACGAAGGAACAGAAGCTGGTAAGGACTCGAAACAGAATCTCCTGGAAGACTCTTCGATGGCAGCCAGCGTTTTACTAAGTCACGGACAGGACATATGCGACAGGGAGGCTCTTCAATGGTCCTGCCTCCAGCGCGAGTGATGAGTGCGGGTTGTCAAGACATCGCTGCTTGACTTATATATACTCTTGCATAATCACGCGGGATAGCCCCGTTGAGTTCGCTTCTCACCGAGCACCTGTGCACGGCGAAGAAGCAATACACGCGGAGCCCACGAGCTCTGCGGGTATTGCTTCCTCCCAGTGCACAGGTGCCCGGTATGAAGCGCACTCAACGGGGCTAGTTCGCCGCGATCAACACTTCGAAAAGTACGAATACAGCAGATCACCTCGAAGCGAATGTCGAATAGCGTATTATTCGAAACTTCGAATATTCGCACAACACTACTGGCTGGGTATTCGAATTGTGTCCTGCCAGTGACTATACCCGTTTTCACCTCAAGAAAAAAGGAAGTTTTGCTCCATGTTCCTACGCCGCGCGAAGTAGTTCTCACAAAATTTGGTCGTCGGAGGAAGAAGCGATGCTTTTGGCGTTTGAAACGTGTACGTCTTCATAAGAGAACACATATTTAATCTAAAATACACCTACATATGTCTCAATTCTCAGCGTAACGAGGGAAATTAGTAATGCTCCACGAGGAGCCGAACTTTTTTTACTATGGTTCTTGAGGTGAAAACGGGTATAAAGGAGACGGCGTTTTCAGAGCTGTATTTTAGTGCCCTATAATTCTGTGGGCTTCAATCAAGCACTTGGCAGCATTACGTCTGCGGAATGTAAGTACTCAACCGAATAAAAAAAAAAGAACATAGTTTTGAAGCGTAAGGGTTATGATACGAATGAAAGATTTTTATATGGAATCTCCATGACTCGAGGAGCAGCAAAAAAAAAAGGTGTGTGTGGGGGGGGGGGGGGTTCTTTAGCTTTAAAAGCCCCCCTGGCTATGCCACTGCACCACGGTGACTGTGCAAAAGAGCAGACACATTTTGGCAGGCCAAAGGTCATGTCACTAAACAATTGCTTGAGCCCTTGCTTTATGTCATGCACAAAATATGCGGTGCTTAGAAACAGCCTTGAGGAGATATGGTGGTGGGAATATTTGAGCATGGTGCAATTTGAGGTAGTTTACTATAAACTTACATTTCTAGAGTAGCTTTTAATAGCGCATCTCTTTTCTGTGGAATGGGGGGATATGAATCCTGTAATAAAAAGGACACACAGTCTAAGTTTATCCTTCAATACTTTCTATGCTACTGCTGAAAACAAAAGTTATAGTAAACAGATGGGACCACACTCCAAACAATCAAGTAAAAATTTTAGTTTTTTTTAAACGTAGAAAAATCTGATAAATTTAGAAAAGCAATACATCCCTAGATATCATTTAGGGGTCCTTCGAAGTCCTGCGTCATATACTATATAGCACAGTTCCTTTCGAGTAAGATGCATTACATATTTGTAGTTATAGGTGAACTACACTTACATATGATGCTAATATTGCAGGTTCTGCATTACAATTCAGAGAACTGAGTCACTAAAATCTCTACAAAAGGAGTGTTACTTTTGGTGTTGCATATGATGTTGCACATGGTTCACAGAGTATCTCTGAAACATCAATACCCTAGCACGTAAAAACTCAACCAGCTCATTATTTCCTATACTTTCCAAATATTGGTGCCTTATAACAGGCACCAATATTTGGCAGCCATACACAATGCAGTTGAGTCTGAAGTATGGACACATTTTGTGCCTAAATATTCCTTTTCTTAAATACGGTATTTTCACAAACTTTTGCCACTAAAGAACATAATTTTGAGGGGCATCTCAGACACTTTTTCACTTTTGTGACTTACAGCCTCTGAAGGAAATAAAGCAGGAATTGAAGGAATGGTGTTAGGAATGTTCTTTGAATGTGTGTAAAGCTTTTTTGTTGCTAACCTTATTGAATAAGAGCTTCAACTGTATCTATATGGCAATTTTAATGTCCCCCTTGGCTGCAGTTTCTGTGCTGAAAAAAAATGCCAGATTTCCCAGATGCCATACATGTAACTGCATGTACTATGTATATGAGAGTTGAGCTCTTACTACTATTACTACCATAAGGCACCTATCTCTGTTCACATGTTTGCTTTTGAAGCTTGTTTTCAATTCCTCTTTTTTTCTTTGCATAGTTTATACACCTGCTCACTGGTTTTATTTGTTGGAAACAAAAGTTGTGGATAAAATGATTTGTATATACTAATCTACAGTTGGCAACAGGTTAAGAGTTCAGGGAAAACTTCTCCCCTCCCTTTCCACTTTAGCAGAGTAGATGCTGGAGGAGGTGACCTCCTCTCTAGCATCTGCTCTGCTGAAGTGGGAAGAGGTAGGAAGAGTTTCCCCTGAACTCTTAATTTGTCACCAACTGTAGAGTGACAAACATCATCATAATCATAAGACTTCCAACACAGAGCGATTTCTCTGGGCTGCAATAGGGAAGGAATCTTGCTTAAACTGATGTAGATACTGCTACAGACTCCATTTTTTAGTCTTTTTTTTTTTAAGATTTGCTTTAAAAATGCCACTTGCCTGCCTCGAAATATGGACCTTTGACACCCCTTTCATGTCCAATTATCATGCTCTGCATAAACCAGGTTGGCACATCAGCACTGAATAAGGTCTAGATCCCCATAACAAATTCATGCGGCCTTTATGTAGCATAACAAATTTACCGAAGAACAATACTGATGAATAGGTTGTCAGCATGGATGAAAAGGCCGTTGAAAGCGACACCCTATTTTTCAGTGCAGGGGCTGTCTCTATTGCAAATGGAAACAGCAGAGGTTTTACTTGCATAATGTTCCGGCCAAAAGTAAAATGGCTGAAATGGCAACAAGTGGAATATCAGCATAACAGAGAAATAATAAGAACTGGGAAGCGAGTCAGCAGTACAGAAAACAAAAGCATAAAATAAAATATATCTAGCAGTATGTTAACTAGTCCGAAGCGAGATTTTTTACTACAGCAAGCATGTTCAGCAGCCTTGCAGAAATGTCAGAACATAAATAAAATTCCTTTAGAGGTTAATAATCAAATTTGATCGATCCTACTTATGTATATGAAAATATTAAAATATCAGTAAGCAAAAAGCATACACCACAATATTGCACAAGAGGCACTTGAGGCGATTTCTTACTCACAACACAGCATGAAACATACAAGTTGAGAAGACATCAACAGAAAGCCTTATGACATTCAAAGAAAATATAACAAGAATGATAAAAAAGAACATTGGTTCAACAAATTCAAGATTCAAGCACTTCCAAAATCTCTGCCATCTCAAAGATCCCATGTGCCTTTGTCACACCACCTGAACAGTGATGGAAAGGAAGATAGAACTCTCAACCAATTCCAGAGATGAGCAAAACTTTTTTTCTGCTCTCTAGCTATGCAACTACTGAGCCATTTCCACCAGGAGTGTACAGTTGCAGCTTCTTTGCTGCCATTCCCTCAACATGGCGACACTCTTTTGAGATGGTCCTAAAAGGCCATGCTAACCAAGTTTCCCAAAGGAACGAGTTTTCATTGGGAAAAATTTTGTCCAGGCAACAACTTCCCCTAGGGAACAACTTCCCCTAGGGAACAACTTCCCCTGGGGAACAGGTAATCTCATGGTCCACAGTTTGAGCAAACTGAGGGCCTACTACTTCAGAGGGACATCGCCAGCAGTTCTGTGCATGTTCCTGAGTATGAGCAGAGGGATCAGGAAGAAGCAGCTACCGAGACAGTAGCATGCTACAGGGCCAGCCCACCAGTACACTGCAAAGGAAATCAAAATAAGCCTATTTTGGAACAATGTTTGACTTTATTATAGTCCAACAATGTGCAAACCAGAGATGAAGGAATCAAAGGAGGGAACGACACATACAAAGGACCTTTACATGTGTCATCTGCTTTTTTGTTCCTTGGTCTCAGGTTTCCACAATATTGGAAGTTGAGCAGTGCTTGGGATTGGGCTAGTTGGTTTTTCAAGCTTTGATTCAACTGCGCTGCAAAAGATTGCAAAAAAAAATGACACTGGGACGAGGAAGACAACTCGACGTACAGAACTAGGCGCAAACTAACAACTGTTTATTCTTCATTCCACACGAAAGAGGCAAAAATTTGGAAAGAGAAAAAAAAAAAAAAAAAACAGTTCTTAGTTTGCTTTCCTCTTTTTCTCTTTTTCAACTTTCGTGAGAAAGAAAAAAATAAACAGTTAGTTTGTGCCTGGTTCTGTATGTCGAGTCGTCTTTCTCGTCCCAGTGTCGTTTTTTGTAATCCTTCGCAGTGCAGTTTCACCAAAGTTGAAAGTTCACCAGCTCGTCTCTATCTGTTCTATTTTTTCTTTATTATGCTATTTAGATTTACATAAAACAATCCACTAGCTGTACTGACATCAATGTAATCTCAAGAGTATATCAAACATGGTGCAGATGACAATTGTCAAAAAAGAAAGCCTCTTGGAAGTTGTTTTGATATTTAGAGGTTCAGGAATCCTAATTTACAAATTCACAAGTAACGAACTGTGAGCACAATAAAGAAAACACACAAAAAAAGGTTTAGTGACAAGATATATATCTAAAGACTAAAAAGCATGTTTTAAGAGTATTTTCAAGAAATATTGAAAAAAATGTGTTCTCCGCAATTTAGTATTTTCTTATTTTTAAAATCCAAAAATAAATTTTATCACACTTCTAAAGCAGTGATAGGTGCTTCACATGCTACTCTAAATAGTCTACAAGAGAAGTATTTTAAAATCAGGGCATTTTTGTCTGCAAAGGAAGGCAATTATGCTTCCTGCACATAGCATGAGATTCCAGATTTTTACAAAATTACTGGCTACCACTATTGACAATAATAACCTTCTTGCAAGAAGATGACATTTTGTAGTCGACTGTAACTTGCCCATAACAAATGTACTATATTTCAGAGGTATCGCAAATGTGCTCAGCTTTAACATTTTTGTGCTATGCTGTCAAGGGTAGCTTTGTTCCCAGTGCTGCTGCCCCACACTGCTGCACGAGCATGTGGCTTTGTATTGAGTCTCATTTGTGTGCTCTCGCGCAAGCAGCTTTGACAGCGCTGCGGAAACCACGCTAGCCTTGACAGCATAGCAGAAAAAAGTTGATGCCAGGTGTAGTTAAGGATTGACAGTGCTTCAGACACGGCACACACAGAAATCGCTACAAACCCACTGTCCTTCACCACTTCTCAGGGGTTTAGTGTTTTAAAAACGACCACTCCCACAGCCGTACACATTATGCATTACCATATCGCTTCATGTAGTACTCCTGCAGCATTTGTACTTACTGGTGGCCGACAACATGGGCCCGACCGCTCGTGCCAAGGCGCCCAGAGACCGGAATATCCCCAGGATGGTGCCCTTCTGAGTGGGAGCCCCGTACCTCGAGACCAGGGTTGTCAACAGGGGCACTACTGTCCCTGAAGCTGTTGCAAAAAAAAAAAAAAGAAACGAAAAAAAAAAGAAGTGAAACAACGTTTGCAATTGTTAGTCCTACAAGTGGTTCATCAAGTATGAAACCCAAATGAGCCCATAAAAAAAAGACTGTTTGAATCTCAGGAATAGCATGAAACTGCTTCGAAAAGTTGGGCCCTCAAGAGTTTCTCTGCTACGTTTGTTAGGACAAAGCAGTTCTGCCAGATAGGCAGAGCCTCTTTTGAACAGGATACTAAAGCCTTTGGATAACATTCATACCAAAAAAAAAAAAATATCTGCAAAGGTCATGTATAACTAAATATAACTTTCCTGTTGATGAATCAACTTAACAGGCATGTGGGTGAAAACAATCATATTTATCGCAGACTGCCTAAAGGCATTACATGAGGAGAGAATCTGGAATAGTGCAGGTATTACTACTATATGGTGGTTCTATTGCATTCCCTAAACAATTTCTATCTCGTGGTTAATTCATCTTTGCAAATTTCGCAGACTGAAAACTGCAAAAAATTGCCTGCACCAATATATCGCTGACTCACAGGTAGGGTGACCACCTTCCTGCCAGCGAAATGCGGGACACGCAGGGGAGGGGGGGGGGGGAGGAGGAGGAGGGAGGGAGGGAATTTATTAACACACGCACCACAAACCCAGGCTCTGTTAACACATTTAATATCCTGCGCTGTTTATACGCCTGCGAATTGTATTGTGGCAATTAAGCTCAATTAATTTTCACTCTCAAAGATATATCTTTTATACCAAATGTGTTATTAATGTGTCGAAGTTGAAAATATAAAAATCGACTGTAGCAGAACTCAATGCATCAAATGGAAATAAGATACAGTGAATCTTTTTCGGGTTATCGTTTCTTGTCAACGCTTACTTTTATCAACATGGTCCTGCACAAATTTTTAACATTATATTCTTTTTCGACCGTTGCGAGTTGTAGGCTTTTTGTTTTGTATGGCTGCCTTCACTAAAACAAAAATCCACAGGAACCCTTTCGCATTGACACAGTGATTTCAAAATAATTACAATATTTTATATTGAAACTCTTGGTGAGCCATTCTTCTTAGAATATTTTGCCAATGGGAAAGGCACAACCGAGCATGCGCGTCGGTTCTCCTGCAAGGACGACGGTTGCTTCCCACAATGCTTAGATAGAAAATGCTCTACCATTGCGATTCACATGATTACCAGCGACATCCGCGCTTCCCCGTGCCCCGTTGTTTGGCAGCGCCATGAGTTACAGAGTGAATTTTACTACACTATGAAATGCGAGACATTTTGAAGATTTGAGAATTTCTTGCGGGACGCGGGATACAAGCCCTCAATGCGGGACAGTCCCGCGAGTCGCGGGACGGGTGGGCACCCTACTCACAGGATCCAGAATCCCTTCCTGATCATAAAATTTCACTCTTGGAAAAATTTTCAAAGTTGTTTTGAGAAGTACAGATTTGTCAAAGATTAGATCGACATTATAGAAACAAAACATTTTCAATACAGGGCATACTCGGAAACAAGGTAAAAAATAAGAAGTTATATATGTTTCACTGACAGCGGTAAACACAAATCTGGAAAACTGTTTGTACATTACTATAACATGTATGCGTAAATTTAAACTGTGCACATGCAATTGGTGAGTCAAAGCAATTACATACATGAGTCAAATGTGCTAATAATACCAAGGTGTGCAACTGATTTGTTGTATCACCACAGATAAACAAGATTTTCTAAGCTAAGTGGACAGTGCAGCCCCTCTCCTAGAGCATTCTACAACATCCTGCATATAGAATGTGGTTTTGAATTATTGAGAAGTGAGAAAAAAGTACTAACAGCTTGTCTTAACTACATTCAGGCTTTTGAAGCATCAACATTCCAAACTTTTCCCCGAGTTAAATAAAAGTAAGCTCACAGAAGGCATAGAGCAGCAGTCCGCAGTATAGCACATAAGGGCTCCAGGCGATGCCAACGAGGATGAAAGATGGTATAATCATCAAGATTCCCTGCACAAGAAGGACAAAGCAGGCGTTCATTAGAAATGGCAAAAGCTGGTAAGCAGATGGGCCAAAGTAGTCAGAATAGGCTGCTCAAATAAGCACTGAAAACTTACCAGGAGGCACACCCTTGCCTCCTTTCCTGGCTGCACTCTGTGAACATAACCTCCTTGCACAGATGCCATGACAAGCCCAACTACAAAGTACATCTTGCCTTGTTGCATCCTACAAAAGAAACACGGAACACATAGGTTGATGCTCCAATACACAGATCAGCATCAGGGAGGGAGGGGAAAGGGATATATTTAAAGGGATACTGGCACCCCCCAAATTGTTTTTTCCTTTTTTGTCACGAGATTCATTATGGTTGTCGGAATACTACCCAATTAATATTTTGCTACAGAGTCACATATTTTTTTAATAAAGCCAAAAAACACAACTGCTCGAAACTGAAACCGAACTCCTGTACGCCACGGAGAAGTGGAGAGGATAGAGTGGGAGTGGTGGAAGGCACGTGGCTACACCCAACCGTGCGGGTTTTTTTTTTTTCTCCGCACGTAGCTGACGAATTGCGTTTGTTCGCTGTGCGATTCCTTTGCAGTTATGTTTGTTCCGCTCACTGTTCTGTACTTCAAGATGAGTTGTTTTGTACATTAAAGTGTTGGCTATTAGTAGTGAGTGCCCGTGGTGAATTCCCGTGATCGGCTACGAAAAGAATACTCCCAAGATGTTGCGTGAAGAGCTGCCTCACATGTCCTGCATCTGAAAGTGGCATTGTGCGGCAGAGTGCACAAGTTTCCGAAAGATCAACGGGTCGGGATCAATGGCTGGCTGCAATTCCTGTAGAACAGTTACGCGAAGCTCGGAAAGAGGACGCCACCCGATTCATATGCTCCTTGCATTTTGTGGAAAGTGACTACATTGAGTTCGCAGGTGTCAAAAATGGAATCCCATACCATTGAGTTCAGCGACGTATCATCCACAACAATGTTTTTTTTTTTTTTCCAGTGATAATTGTAAAAAAGAAATGCAAACATCGCAAAATGCTTGACAAAAAAAAAAAAAGGGTACACCCACACCAGGGATCAAACCCGTGCCCTCTGCGTGTAAAGCGGATATCTTTCCACTAAGCTACCGAAGGAACTCTTTCATGCGTAGTAATGAAGCAGGTCGGCTGTATGTCGGAAGTTTGCTGCCGATTTCCCTTCAATACATGCACTCCCGGCTTGAAGTCGGGCAGCACCACGCATAGCCCACATTCGCACCTCGTAAATAAACCATACGCGTGCATATTCAACTCGAAAGGGACTACGGCTCGGCGACGTCTTCGTGCGATCGGCTTGCTGGTCGGGCGTGTCGTACGGGATGAATATCAGTTCTTTTGATCGGTCCAAAATTTCTTTTTCGAAGGAAGACAGAATTCGCCGGTACCGTGAACGACAGTTCTGAAGTAGAGGTCTAACACCCGCCGTCCACTGCCATCCGCTAGTCCCAAGATATGCGAAACGACGCCATGATGAGAATTATGCAGTGAACGCACAGAATGCTTCCGGTTGTCTGTGCTACTTTTTTTTTCAATCAATGAATTTGTAGCTTTTTGGAAGCCACAAAAAATGGGTTTTATATTTTTTTCTATTGTTAATATTGACTGTGTGCCTTCAATGACCCACGACTTTAATTAAATTTGGTGGGCGCGTCGAAACCTTAGAGAACGGCCCGTGACCACATAAAAGAGAGTGAACGCGACTCGAACCGGCCAGTTCTCGATCGGCTGTTTTCAGGCGGAAAGAAACCGAATTTCGAGCTGCAAATTCTGTTCTGGGTAGTTAAGCTCTCATATGTCACGTACAACTAAAAACCTCGGCGAGCATAAATACCCTGTCAGCATCCCTTTAAGAATGCAATTTGAGCCACATGCAACTCTACACACTTGGAGGAATCAGTCAAACAGGCCTATCACACGCAATGGAGATTCTAACACTAGAAGTATGAACTAGCCTTCTTTAGTCTTCTCAGTCTTTGTCGAATTAGCCTTTTTGAATTGAGCACAGATTGTGTCCCATGTCTCAAGCGGTCATTACTGGTTCAGTGCCGAGAGCTGCCTGCTTTATGCTGAGGTGTGAAATGCAACTACGATAGGTACTGCTGGCACTGTGAAGGTCTGAAACATGTAAATGCTTTGTAAGCATAAAACTCCATGGCTGAGCTCAGAGATCAGTGGAAGGATGAGAGCATGCTAGAATAGACGGGACCAAGTTCATCAATCATATATCAAAATATGTCTCCTATTCATAAAGATCATGCCTCCAAGGAAAGGGAAAGGCCAAGGCCTGGCAATAAAAACCAGGCAAGCGTGTTACTTTAACCTCACTGACACTGCTCCTTGAGGCGAAATACAGTGACTGCACACACCCAATGAGACCAGTGGGAAAACTGCACACACCTAATGAGACCACTCTACTCTTGCTATCAAAAGGTGAAGAGTGGAGTTTGCAGAGCTGAGCTTCTGGGTTCATTAGTCACAGGAAGTTCAATATTCCGACCAACATTTGGAAATAGGAGTCACCTTGTGTACTGGAATCGATCATGGGTCAGGAAAGACAATGAGTACTCCAGACCAGAGTAGAAAAGTAGGTAAAGGAAGTACACCAGTCCACACTGCCGAAGTACTTGGTGATCTGAAATGATTGCAAGTAAGTTGATGTGGCGACTGCTGCGGAACACACTTTGTTACATGACAGTCAGATCTGTTCGTTCCAGCTTAGGAAACTAGGACCATGTCATCAAATGACCCTGCTGAACTCACTTCCAAAAACAAATGTTAGGCAGGTCTAAAAGAGAAACTTCAAGTTCTCTTTTAAAGGGTACTAAAGCGGTTTTTGAGCTTGTCTTTCTATGGCAATTTTTCAATATATGCACCCTAAGCAAACTTAAAAATTCACAATTTGCATGTCCCTTTTCTTTTTATTAAAAACACAACCAAATACCATGACCCCTCCCCCCTCTTTTCTGGGATATCTCCGAAAAAGGTGCATGTCGCTGTATTTGGTCGCATATTTACAGAGAAAAAGATTATCCATGATTTTAATTTGTTTTTTTAGGATGCTTAGGGTGCATAGGCTGAGGTACTACCACGAATGGATAAACTCAAAGCCCACTTTAGTTCCCCTTTAAACCCCATCACACCACTTCAACAAACTCACAATAAAGTTCCAGGTAATTTGCAAAGTGGCTGACATCATTACTAACTGTCCACTAGCTACACTGGCAAACACGCAGCTATCTGCAACAGCTTGGAAGTGACACATTTCCGGTTAGGACACGCTATACCGATTTTGTGAAGCACCCGAACCTGAACAACATTTCTGCACAACAGGTTTGGAAATAAGGCCTTCTTGCAGAGAGATGCCACAAAACAAAAAGTGTGTGCATTTTCGTAGGAAAGCATAGCATGCAAACAAATATAGCTTTGAGATATTTGGCTGTTCTTAAAGGGATACTGAATCGAAACTTAAAATATACCCTTCACGTTCAGAAATAAGTTGAACATGATCAACTCAATCCGCTAATAACAATCGCACGCTCGTATTTTGAACAGACGGTTATATTTTTCGTTCCAAAGGACCGATTCCAGCGAGCGCTCGAAGATCAGTTATCGAAGAGCACGATGCATCTTGGGAGCTGTGCCAATTGACGTCACAGACATCCGTCACATCAGTTGGTACAGCATGGGCAAAGCTGCTTGGGGCTGGTGTGGTTATCAGCTCTGCCACTTGGCATCGTCAACGCGTTACAAACTGGCCGTTTTTGGTTGCCCCTCCCCCCTCCCCTCAAGAGCTGAATAGGCCAGGAGAGAAGGGAAATGCCATTCGACATGGCTCGTGTGCACGCAGCTTGCCATCATGGTACTTCCGTGGAGTGACACTGCTTTTTTTTTAAGTGCATAGTGACCTAACGACATTCAGTTTATTCCTTTTAAATAATGTTTTCGTGTCTTCTCGAGCAAAAAATTGGTGTCTCCATGGTGTGGCCAGAACGTGGTTGACATTTAGACAATAAAATAGGCAGTAGAATTTCATTGCAGCACGTTTTTGATGGCGTATTGTTTGTTGGGCTTTAGTCAATAAAAATGACCAGTTCTAGATGGCAAGGCATCCTAGTTAACTCACAGCAATAGAAATACACGGGCACTATTTCCTCTGGGGAGGGGGGGGGGAATTCTGGATCCCCACCACCTCCATAAAATTTTACCAATGGAAATTGTTTAATCGTGTGGAGATTCCAAACATTACTACCATTGCTCCTCTTAGGCGCGCTGTGCATTAAGTTTTGACAAAACGTCAAATCTTTGGGTGTAGAAGGCGTAATACAGCAACTATTGTTTGAAAACACCATCCGACAGCACCCCCTGGTGTCCGCTTCAAGGTGCAGAAAGAGGGGCATGTCGCAATCTTTGATTAAATTCTTAATAGGGAAATCGGCCACCTAGGAGTATAATTTATTTCTTTTAGGATGCTTAGAGCTTTCAGACTGAGTTATCACCCTAAATAGATGATCTCAGAATCCACAAGAGTGCCCCTTTAAAGGTATAGGCCAGTGACTGCTCTAATACGACTTAAGCCTGTTTCAATACAGCGACTGTGTGAAAAAAATCGGTGCGACAGCCGACACAGCGAGTGAGATCGCAATGTTTGGTTTTACATGCTCCAACAACTGCGCGATTTCTGTCGGCGAGGCCAGCTCTTCTAACCAAGGTTAGTTGCAGCGGACACGGACGCGACGCGTTTGACTTTTCCTAAAATACAACAAAAATGTCTTAATAAACAGAAATGCTTTACGAATACAATATGTAACTAGAAATTTTTAATAATTAAGCATTAAACCAAAACCTTTTAGGAGTGCAAATTTATTTTCGAATGCGCAGCTATCGCAGATGAAAACTGGCTAATGAACGGCTGGTTGACGAGAAAGCGATCGATCGAACCGACTCAGCGACAAAATACCAACTTGGTCGAAACCAGTTGCAGAGTCGATGCGACAGTGCAACTGCGATTTTAATTGGACATTTATTGGAAATCGCACTAATTTCGGACAAGAATCGCAGCATGTGAAACAGCCTTTAGAGAAAGTCTTCTTCAGTACATCCTCATTCGAGCCTAACTTCTGAAAGATACAGCTGTCACAATGAGCCAGAATCCGATTGTAACATCTCAACTAAAACTCTGCCCCATAGAGATGGCTCAAGATACTTTGAAGGCCAAAAGATTAGATATAAGATCTCACCAGGTAATTTCCTGCCCCCCAAGCATCCACGGACACAAACAATTTGTGTTTATATTTTGAATCTACAATATTGCGTTACCTTTCAATGGTAACTTCTGAACAGGCTGGAATGTGAAGAGGGACCATGGATTGACATAGGAGAATGCTCCAGAGAGACTTGAGGCAATGGAATGTGCCTGGAATATTGCAAGGTTTCTTTTTAAGTAAAAAAAACAACAAAAAAACATCTTGATCATTTCACTAGAGTGTTAAACATAGTAAACAAAGCAAATACCCTTATAACTTAACCATCTTCTTTTCACAAAAGCAGACTTTTGAAAAATATATCACGACTATATTTTGTTCTTCCCAAGCACAACCTGCGACCATGGCTGGAGGTCAAACATCTTCCCTCTTAAGAATGTGCATCCAGTTGTATAATGTACACATCCATTGTGAAACAAAAAACAACTGCACACAATGATCCCAGCAAATATTTGATTCAATCTGTGTCAGTCATGAGTAGAGCCCTGTGCAGATAACAGTTTGATCATTCACATCCGATTCACATCCGCAGACTTTGTATTCGCATCAAAACCACATCTGCAATGCTCTCAAATTATTGTATCTGCATCCGAACCGCATCTGCAAAATTCGGAACTGCATCTCACCCTCAATCTGCGCAATTTCACTACATAAAATCAAGCATGAATAAGCAAAAAAAAAAGCATCTGGATGGTATCCTATAAGCTGTCTGCTTACCTTTACGCAAAGAACTCTTCGTGTCAGAGTACAGTGAAAGTCATTTTATCATATTAGGTTCTACCGCATTTATATAATAAGCTAATGTAACGTTCCGAAGAAATATCAAAACGCATCTATCGCCATTTTAATTCCCACATTCTTCTTTTTCTTTTATTCGGCTCCCTTACAGATTTTGCCCTGTTTCGTCTTCTTTTGGCCTTCTTCACCCTCCTTGGCTTGTGAATTCATTCCTCCTGGAATGGTATTTAAAGACGTTGGTAATCGACACTACTTCTGCGGTGTTGTTCGGTCCAGTGTACCACACCTTTTTGAGAAGCCCTTGTTGCACTGCGGTTTTGATGACTTGGTAAGGCCCCTTTAACTGTGAAGCAGATCCTGGAGGCCTTTCCGAACCAAGACAAAGTCACCCACCAATAGCTTTGGAACCTCAGTATTGTGTCGTTTATCAAAATGCCGTTTCATCGGGCACTGAGAGTTTTCTAGTTGAGCATCAGTCTTTCTGGATTCCTTGATAGTTACTTGTCAGGTAATCCCAAGTGGCTGTCAGCCGCCGGCAGCGGAGCTTTTCCTGAGATCACGAAGAGAGGAATGCATCCCAACCCTGCCGTGTAGGACCGATTATGGTGTGCTACACCAGCTTCAAACGAACATTTCCAGCCACTGGGAAAGTTGGGGTACATGTTCATATATTGTTTTACGTCTCAAATTGCACACTCTGCTAGCCCATTTGCCGAAGGAAGGTAAGGTGCCGTGAATCACAGGGCTATCCCGCTGTCTTCTGCCCATCCTTTTAGTTTGTGGCTACGAAAGGCTGGTCCGTTGTCCGAAACGACAACCTTTACGTTGCAATACACTTCTCAGCTCAGCAAAGACATCACGCTGTTAAAGTTTTCCCTACCTGGTTTTGCTGCCACCATTTGAGTGCACTTGTCGATGCACAGTAGAAACGCTTGCGTCTCCTTCACACATTCACTCTTTTTAGTTAACTCTGCGAAGTCAAGGTGAAGCACTTCAAATGGTGTCTTGGAATGTTCAGGTAGCATCATTTAATCTGTAGGTTGTCTGTATTTCACTTAGCACATTTGGCACTCGTGGCAGAACTTGATGTAGAGTCATGTATCATCTTTCACGTGTGGCCACGTGAACTGTTTGGTCAGCTTCATATAAGTCCGCTAGAACCCATCATGACTACCTGACTCTGGGCTTCTGTGGTATAATTCTAGAATCTGAGGAACCATTGTGGATGGAACGTGAAACTTTCCACTTGTGCCAAGTTCTAGTTGTTCTATCTGTTCCCAGAGTTTTGATGAATTCACTACTTCGGATGACCCTGCAGAGGACGGTAGCAGGAGTCAAAACATCACGTCGGTGTCTTTTCAGGAAGCACCTGGACGATGACTCACTTCAAAATCAAACAGCTGCAGCTCATTGATCCAGCGAGCCACCTTTCGCTTTGGCTCAGTCATCTTAAACAGAAAGGTGAGTGTTTCATGGTCAGTAAAGAGCTTGAATTTCGAACCTTCCAGGTATGAATGAAAATATCTAACTACCTTCAGCACCGTCAGGGCTTCTTTCTCTGTGGTGGTGTAGTTCACTTCAGTCTTTGTGAAAGCTGAACTGTGTTTATCCCACGACGTGAAGCTGTTGAGAAATTGGCTTCTCGATGTCACGTTGGTAAAGCACTGCACCTGTTGCATAATGTGAAGCGTCTGTGTTGAGCTCAAATGGTAGATTAAAATCCGGCAAGAGCAGAACAGTGTCGGATGAGATGATTCTGACAGTGGCTTTTCGTAGCATAGTCCTGGATGAACGATCTGAAATGTCTCGCGAGGTCGAGAAACACACGGAGTGACTGCACATCGTAGGGCTTGTTAAGCTGGGAAATACGGGTAACCGACTTTTCCTTCGTATTTTTCGTTGCTCCATCCAGAACTGTACCTAGAAATACAACTTCGTTCTTGAAAAATTCACTTTTCTTAAAGTTGACCTTGAGCTTGGCCTCACAAAGTGCAGACAAAACTTGTGTCAGATGCTTCTCGTGGTCACTCTCTGTCTTTGAGTATATGATGATATCATCAACATAGACATTGTAGAATATTTCAAGGTAAGGCTGAAGGACGGCATTCATCATCTTTTGGAACCAGCTGGGTGAATTTTTCCATCCAAAGGGCAAGCGGTTATACTCATAAATGTTGAATGGCATTATAAACGCGCTGTAAACTTCTTGGTATCCTCTTGAAGAAATCACCTGCCAGAACCCTTTACACAGATCAATCCTAGAGAAGTACTCACAGCCCCATTTCATAAATTATACTGTTGATGCAAGGTATTGGAAAAGAAATGAGTGATGTCTGTTGGTTCACTGCTCGGTAGTCCGTGCAAAGGCGGAATGTTCCATCTTCTTTTGGAGCGATAGTGTTGGGAGATGCAAATGGAGGAACAGAAGGCTGTATGATGTCAGAATCCAGCAAGTTCTGTAGCTCTTGTTTTAGCTGCACCAGGTTGCAAGGTTGTTCTGTTTTTTTTCACCATTTTTGTCTTCAAGCTTGAACAGTACTTCAAACTGGGAGTACATGGTAGATATCCCCCTACACACACCAGTTCTGGATAGGTTTGAGATACCACGTCAGTTGACTTGATGGCGCAAAGTGAAGTGGTAGTACCTTCTGGGTCTGTCGAACATCCAGGTGGCGGACCAACAGAAGCCGTGTCGTTCCAGTAAAGATTCAACTTCAGTGGTTTCACGTCTTGGAGTGACAAAAGAAAATCATACTCGACTAGGTCAATTGCCAAAGCTTGGGTATCTACTGTGTGAGACTAGAACTTGACTGTAATCCGCAATTCGCCAAATCTAGTTTTATCCACATCCACCAGTTGATTGCAGATGCCCACGGATGATCCACGGGTGATCCGTAGATATGCAGGGCTCTAGTCATGAGAAAGCATGATTGCATGCAAGTTCGCAACTTTAACAATTCCTCGAATGAGATCTAACTGGGCTGAGGCCGGCTGCAACAACAATGTGTTTCCCCATCAATACCACCCATTGGTCAGGGACAGCACCGAGCCATGAAAAATCTCCTCACAGGCCGTAGTTGCCTGCTTCAGGGCTTCATGGCCTTCCCTGAACAATATATTTGTAGAAATTACTTAACTGCACAGATCAGCAACAGGCAAGATGCTGGAAGCTCTATCGAACAACACTAAAATTAACAAAACAATGGCAAAATCCCTAACTGGTCCAGGTCAAAACCCTTGAGCTTAGATGGCTCCTTCATTTGAGCAAACGCTATCATAATAACAACCTTGAAAGACCACTACTATACAAAATACTCACGCGCTTCTCTGGTGGAAGGGACTCCTTAAAGACGGTAAAGAGAAAAAGGATGTCCAGAAGTGCAAGCGAAAGGGCAAACAAGGCAGGCATGACGTAAAACTCCGTTGACTCCTTGTTGGCCATCGCAAACTGTGCTCCAATCAAAGGGCCAACAATAAATCCCACAGAAAAGGCAACGCCGATGAGTGCCTGCAAAGATATGAAGGCACTGGATAATCAAAATCAAAATCAGTTCTATTCAGAGGCATACAACTTTTACTACCCTTCGTTAAAAACCCTGAAACTGGGAGAAGAAAACAAAATAGGGAGAGAACAAAATGTAGCAAAACATGAGCTTATACCCATGCAGTGAGCCTCACACATTCTGTACAGTATCACAACCTCCATTACCTAGTTTGTCAAGGAGCAGAGCAAGATTTTGAGTGACCTTTGCAACAGAGCATATGAATTGAATATGAAGTGTGATCGAGAAAAATTTAGCTAGACAAATATGGAATCGAGTAATGTCAAAACAGACTAACAACAAAAATAACATTGTGGTGAGCTACACCCATTCGGTAGGCCGAAAAAATAAAGAATGCTCATGGCAGACATACAAAATGCCAACAATACAAACCAAGTGTGTGTGGAATGCAAAACTGTACTTCTGGCGAAGTCGCGCTTCACAAGCACCCTGTCCCGTCATGTTATTTAGAACACATCAGTAACTTCCACCATATAGCCCGACAAACATTAATTCAATACCAATTTTTATCCAGTTCTCTTCCATGTTGCAACTTAACCGGAGACTGGGGAATGAAATAGAAACTTAAACGTAGAAGAAACAGAAACAGGGAAGAAGAGATGTCTCAAACGGGACTTTGCTGCAGGGAAGCGAGTTCAAGCACCACCCGGACTTTCATCATTGGAACAGAGTGAAGAAGGCCAGTTTCGACCGTCTTTGGTATGTGAAGTGCAGACATATTTTGGACAGTATTAAGTGTAACTCTAGGAATAAGGAAGGCGGAAAGTCTTGGTGTCACAGTAATGGTAGTTGTGAGCCTCGGAATTCATTTGTTAACCCGTGCAATGAGCTTATTTTGTCAAAATTGGAACAACTTTTGGGGAGAGGACCGAAATGTTGTCTCTAGAAAACATAAAGCAATCAAAGCAGGACGTATTTTCGTCCATGCTGACTATTGCCAGGAAGGTCAATCCTGATGAGAGAGTGGCGTTTATAGATGTTGCTATTAGCAAATGGAAAAAGTGATGGGAAACAGGTATCCAAATGAAAAGAAAAATTTTTATGAAATCAGTGGGGTCAAAAAAGACTTAGAAGTGAGGTCAGTGAAGTTGTTGCAAAAAGACAAATCTGGGAAGTTTGCCATTCTTCCCAGGTTGGTCTTTCAAATGAAAATGAATGCAACAATAAAATAACTTTTCTCTGAATGGAGTGGAAACATTGCTAAACTAAGGACAAGGATCAGTTCAGTTCTTGAGGATGAGTTGGAAAGTGTGGCAAAAAGTCTGTTAGTCCAACGCGGTCAACACTAAGTTTCAAATTTTTCTTCAAGGATCATAAATCGGAAATGCCTCTTTGTGCAGTGATTAACAAGTGTAGTATGTGGCAGAAATTAGTTTCAAAGTTACTTCAGAATGGTTTAAAGTATGCAAAGAGTCTGTTAGGTCCATGCGGTTAATAGTTTAAAGTAGGCAAAGAGTCTTTTAGGTCCAATGCAGTCAATGCCAAGTTTAAAATTTTTCTTAAAGGATCATAAACTGGAAATGCCTCTTTGTGCCGTGATTAACGAATGTGGTATGTGGCAGAAATTATTTTCAAAGTTCCTTCAGAATGGTTTAAAGTATGCACATCTAGAAAAATCATTGTCTCTCAAGAATTCGAACGACTGAAATCAGTATCTTGGAGGTCAACCACGAGAGGGAATGTTCAGTTCTATCGTTCGATACTAAGGGCTTATATTATTCCCTGGAGCGAAATAGATGACGACGAAGGTGAAGGATGCATGTGAATCTAATCTGGTTCAGTTTCAATCCCAAACGGGCATTCTGCTAGGCAGTTTTCTCTTCATTCTTGATTATTATTTTCAGACTACAGCTGTGGAGTATAAGGGAAAAAAGTTTGTGCAGAAGGAAGGCGTGAACATTGGGTCCTCGGTTGCACCGGCTTCAGCGGAGGTTTATTAGAATTCGTTGAATTCTGTTATGTTTATCGAATTCATGTTTATGAAGCGGACACATGCATCGTTAGGAGATATGTGGACAATATTTTTGTGTGCACTTTCTTGGATGATATGTCGAACGGTCTCGAGCAATTGATAAAGTCAGCAGCCCCGGAACTGGGCTCCACTGTGGAGAAACCGAAGAACCCTAGCAAAAATTCCAATAGAGATTTCTATATGACCATTTGAGATTTCTATATGACCATTAGATATTTCTACTGGACCAAAAGTGATTTCTAATGGACCTATATGAAATTTTATTGGACCAATTGGGATTTCTATCTGTCCAATAGAAATGTCGATTGGTCCTGTTAAGATTTCTCCTTGTCCAATAAAAATTGTCTATTGGTCCTATAGATACTTCTATTGGATCACTAGAAGACTACCCAAAGCGAAAACTTCCAGCATGTGTAAAAAGATTCCTTATGGTTGGCCAAGTTATTATATCTAGAAATATAGTGTTTTTTTGTTTAGTTTGAATATTTTCTAGAGAATAGTTTTAATGTGGCACACTCATCACTGACTTTGATCGAGGTTCTCAACAATTTTAATAGCTCTAGCTAAGGTTTCCGGACTCGAGTATCTTTAGAAATTGGGGTCACTTCCTATCGAGGAAAATTTAATGAACATTACAATTTAATTCCTTCTCTGAAGGAATTAAAAAATAATAAAAACACTGAATTGAATATGAAGATAGAAGCTTTAGAATAATTTAGCAATAAAATATTGTAAGCTGGGTCTTATTAATTAAAAATAAACTTCATGAACAAATGAGGAAATAGTTTCAGTGTTGAAAATAATGTAAAAAAAAGGCTCTTTTACCTTACAACACCTGATGCAACCTCAAAACTTTACTCTTATCCATTTTCTTTATCTTGATAGTATATTTTTTTTAATAATAACACACTACATTGCTATTAATATGCTCAGGCTTTTTTATATACTTTATATTAGCAATTGCAATTTCTGTTTTAGTTAGTTTCGTTTTGACCTTGCAATGGAATGCCCCATCACTATGACATCAATAGGTGTTTGATCTTGAGTAAAGCTATTCGCCTCGAGATCGAACCGTGTCGCCACCGTGCGGCCGAAATTGGAAACGCGCGAAAGCGGGGATACCGCCGTGCGTCGTCTGCTACGGGCGCACGCTCAGAAGCATGGATCTCGACGACGCAAGCCCGTTTCAGGCTGAGCTTGACATTCCTTACTAAATGTTTTATGCTTTTGTTGCCGTTTCTTCTTACTAAAGGTTGTGTTGTATCGTTTGCCATGCGTAGAAATTCAGCAAAGCGATTATTATGAAGTCGGAAGCTTCCATAATCTTGGTGTGTTGGTTTGTATACAATCGCTGGTCCCACGTATTTTTGTTATCTCGCACAAACCGCGGCTTTCATAAAGCCTTGGATGTTGAGTGGGGCTGTGGTTCGATTAGAAAGTTAACCCGACTGATCGCTATCCTTTAATAAAATAATCAATCAATAAATCCGTATGCTGATTTTTCGCCGGTCACATTGCGTGAAAGACGTTAAAACTACACATTTTTTTCCTGGTTTTACTGTGTCATAAATGGCATATTGCATTCCCATTCTAAACTTCACGTTGTGAGTCCTACATAAATATGAACACGGGAAGCCTTTTAAAATGAAATATTTTTTAAGTTATTATTTAAACAGTATAATCACCCTCGGTGAAATGACAAGCACGCTGAAGTGGTTTACCGTGCAAGCCTGTGTCACAAAAAAAATAGAGACGTCAAGAATATTAAAGCAGGCATTTTTTACTTCTTGTTGACTTTCTCCAGCGCAAGACTAAAATTAACCGTCAAAAAATTGCAATTGAAGCATTACTTGAATAATCTGAAAGTTAATCGATGAACTGCCCAATCCTGATATACGTTAGGTGAGGGCGGAGGCTGTTCGGAAAGTCTCGTGAAGGTCGCTAGCCCTCATCAGTAAAATAGTATCACTGCGGCCGATGCTGTCTATGTCGTGGTGCGCGTCGTTTGTTGGGGTCGCAGAGTCTACCGTGTTTCAATACAAGATTATTTTTCCAGAAATTTATAGTATTAGCCTCTTGACATCCGCGGCCCTCACCAAAAAAATTGAAGCGGGTGAACTCACACTACCGAGGAAAGCATTTAATAACAGAAACATTGCTGCGTTGCTCGGTTACACTCGTTTTTTACAGTCACGGCAGATATATTAGGACAGTTTGTTTCACTTGTTTCCGTTATCCTGCCAACCGTGCAATTTGCTGATCTTAACTAGAAGAGACACTCTCTCCTCGTCGCAACGCAGTAGATTTGTTCCGACTCCAAAAAACTTACCCACACTATGGCACAGTAAGAGGGCAGAGGAACTGAATAGCGTTGTAATTTCCAATACAGCGCTAACTTATCTTCATTCCAAATATTTATATTACTGAAAAAGCTAGAAGTTTAAATAAAAGCATAGAAGCTGCGATTTCACAGCCCGCAGTACCAGTATTATGTTGTCTGGGTTGGAATTTATGGTTTTTTCTTTTAATTCCCGCGTTGATGAACCGATACATCCATTTTAAAAGAAACAAATATTTAACATAAATATTCCAGTTCAACAGGCATCAGTCGTGGTGATCCATGCTTTCCAACGTTTGCATAGAGCAGACGACGCTTCCACAGAAGCGATTATATAAATTTAGGCCGCACGCTGGCAACACGATTCGATCTTCACTGAAGCACCGAACAGTACCGCATCCTCTACCGCTAGATTAGTTTTCTCACCGATAGTATGTAACAAACTAAACGCAAGAATCTACGCCGTCTCGCGCGCGAACGTGGAAAGCCTATGGGGCGGCCGTTCTCCTATCCCCGCTTTGATGATGAGGATGGCGCGACCGTAGCGCCACCTCTAGGTCGATCTCGAGGCCAATACGCACGAGCTTGTGCACCTTGACCGGAAATGGCTATACACACAACGCGGAGAGCTCTTGCCATTGGGGCCACCCTTTTAGGACGGCGCGTGTATCACCGGGGAGCTCGTTAACCTCCCCCTGCATTCATGCCGCTTTGCAGCACAGTCTGCGGCTGCTAATTACATAATAATTAAACCACTTGGCCCGGCCCCCCCCCCCCCCCAATACACGCTACTTTGCAGCATCCAGCCGGCAAACCAAGCCCTGCTGTCACCCATTGCCATTTAGTTCAGCTAAGTTTCGTCGACAACATTCCTTTTATTTTCTTTTTTTCCAGTGGTAATTGTAAAAAAAAAAAAAAATTTAATATTGCCAAATGTTAAAAAAAAAAAAAAAAAAAAGTTTATTGTGGATTGAATCGAGGTCCGCTGCGTATCAAGCAGACGTCTTTCCACTAAGCTACGCCACCGCTTCGGAAACTCGTTGTAACCATTCGTTTTATACACGTTTCGAGTCATGCGTATAATAATTTTCAGTCAAGTTGCACAAGCTCGTGCATATAGCTTTACTCTTTGATTTTTCATGCGTGTGCTCGGCAGGTACCGAGGGTAAGAAATGCCTAAGGACGTAAAATTGTGTCAATTTCTTCAAGTTTACCAACGTTCTAAGGTTCTGTTCACTATCAAAATGTTCAAGCAAAGCCGGTAGCATAATATGCTACCGGCTTTGCCGGTAGCACCGGATGGAGTAGCACAAACAACTCCGTCCGGTGGCAACTAAGGTGAGCATAATATTTTCCTTTCTTCCTCAAACTCACGGAGCAATTTCTGAATGTTTGCTAAACTAAACTGTTGCTGAACTGTGCTTGCTTACATTTACCTGCTTTTATGTTTGGAACTGCCTCCAACTTTATCAAACCTTGCTGCACGCTCAGTGGTGGAGGAAAAGTTTGCTGTGCACCAAAACTTCCATTTGAAATTTCTGTAAAATGGGTTTGAGAAATAAGAGCCTGTGTCAGCAGTGCACACTTAAGGCCCGTTCACACTCTTGCGACCGAGTTAGACCGAGAGAGACCAGACCGGTTTTTAAGCCTCTTGCGACTTCTTAGGAGCAGCTCCGCTGCATCGCATCCGGTCTTAAGAAGTCGCAAAAGGCTTAAAAACCAATCTGGTCTCTCTCGGTCGAAGTCGGTCGCAAGAGTGTGAACGGGCCTTAACTGTGTTGTGAAACACTTTCATTGTACCAAATTGGAAACTCCTGATGGTTATTATTTCCTTATTCAGTGTTCAACCCTTCAACATATATACTAGACGTTTGCAAGCAGCCACACTCCAAGAGCTAGTGGCAACCCTGGATGGAAAATACGGAAAATGATTTGTTTGAGCACCAGTCTGGAAACCATCTTTGCACTTTGCCTTCCTCAGCCTCTAACAAAAAAAGCACAAAAACGGTAGAAAATATATGATGCAAAGGTCTCTTGCAAGCACTGCGATTGTGTTTTTGCCTGACTTCGGTTTGTGACTTGTAAATATTCTTGTAGGTTTGAAACATTCCATTCAACAGAATATTTTTGCCAAAAAGTTGCTCAATATCAGCTTAAATACTACTTTCATGTGTTCTTATCAGTTTTACGCCAAAGAATTAGAACAATGTCTAATCTATTAAAAAGTACTACATTCATTTAACAGTTTAGTCAATTTCATGCTACAAGAGGTGCACTCTTCAAGTTTCATTCAAAATATGACCTTCATTTAGCAGCTTCAAGTTCTAGTCAATTTCATGCAGCAAGTGTACAGGCATTCTTTTTAGACTTTGAAACAATTGTTATTATCTCAAGTATCCAGAGCAATTTTATTCTCAGTGTTTTCTTCTCAAGTGTTATAGATGTTTATGGATTTGCTAGTTTATTGCAAATATTTTCAGTCACCTTGAATCCTGCATTTGCTAACCACTTTCGAATTTAAATAAATTGCTCAGAACACATAATGTTTATTGCCCTGTCATGAAAGGTATAAAACAGTTTTTGTACAGTTGTGCACTGGGTGCATTTTGAATGGATATACCTGAACACATTTTTTTAAACATTTTATGTCCTTAAAGTATTTACACACTTGTTATCTTAAACTGTCGAACTGTAAGCTGAACCCCCACCTTCCTTGGAAGCACTGAAGCTAAACTAAACATTTGCAGCTTAGCTGCCTTCTACATTAGGCAACCCATGCTCATTAGATTTGCTGAACCTATTCTCTGGCTATGGCCCTGGCACTGTTCATGCTCTTTTGGGGACCATGGAATGGAGTATTACAAGTCTTGGATCTACATTTTACACTAAGGACGGTCTGTGCAGGGAGTTTGGCAAAGAAAACCCCAAACTGGCACTGTCAAAAATTAGCTGCCATTTGAAAACAGTGAAAGCGGGAGTTGGTCAAGTCTTTGATCAGAAATGCTCTAGACCGGTCGTGCATACATTTTACAAAGTGTCTAGCATTACGTCCGACGTAACCCAAGTTACGTCCAAATCTCCGCCTTCCCTAGTTTCATGAGGGAGAGAGAGGAGGGTGGGGGAGGGTTAGGTATACGTGTTTCAGTGCTCCGTCCGGACTTAACGCTAGCCACAGCATACATTTTATCTCAAAGTGATCACAAATGCTCTAAACCAGTCGTGCATACATTTTACAAAGTGTCTAGCATTACGCCCGACATAGCTCAAGTTACGTCCAAATCTCCGCCTTCCCTAGGTTCATGAGGGAGAGAGAGGAGGGTGGGGGAGGGTTAGGTATACGTGTTTCAGTGCTCCGTCCGGACTTAACGCTAGCCACAGCATACATTTTATCTCAAAGTGATCACAAATGCTCTAAACCGGTCGTGCATACATTTTACGAAGTGTCTAGCATTACGTCCGACGTAACCCAAGTTACGTCCAAATCTCTGCCTTCCCTAGTTTCATGAGGGAGAGAGAGGAGGGTGGGGGAGGGTTAGGTATACGTGTTTCAGTGCTCCGTCCGGACTTAACGCTAGCCACAGCATACATTTTATCTCAAAGTGATCACAAATGCTCTAAACCGGTCGTGCATACATTTTACGAAGTGTCTAGCATTACGTCCGACGTAACCCAAGTCACGTCCAAATTTCCGCCTTCCCTAGGTTCACGGGGGAGAGAGAGGAGGGTGGGGGGGAGGTTTAGGTATACGCGTTTCAGTGCTCCGTCCGGACGTAACGATAGCCACAGCATACATTTTATCTCAAAGTGATCAGAAATGCTTTAGACCGATCGTGCATACATTTTATCTCAAAGTCGTTGGAAGGTCAATGGAAAAGACTACTAGGCGGGGCAGGGTATGAAGATGAGCTCATCAAAAGGCATTTAAATTCATACACCATGGAGAAAAAAAGAAAGGAAAAACACGTCAGAAAGACAGACGGCTGTGATCTTGTATTTTCATGGAATTTCGCATTACTTGAAGGCATGTGCTAAGCGGTTTAGAGTGGAAACAGTTTTTAGTTCCGATTTCAGGTTGAGTAGACTAACTCCTTTTAAAACGGGAGTTCATGAGTGTAGAAAAGCTCACCGTGAGAAATCAATCCCTTACAAGGATTAATGCAATCAATTCGGAAATAGCAAAGTACCTAAATAACTGTAATAGTAATTGCACTGTTTTGTAGTCAGGAACGAAAATAATACACAGAGAAGTGAATAACACCAAAAAGCTGGCAAGGGAAACCGTTCGAATAAAATCAATTGGTAAATGTATTAGTCAGGCGTCACTGCAGCTGGAGAACAATGTTTCGAAACAGTTCACGGTTGCAGTGTCAGATGTTCCACAAAGCAAACCTTTTTTTTTTTTTTTGTAAAAGTGGAGGGTTAGCTTAAGTTGGGAAGGTTTGCCCTGGCTGTCATCTTTTTTGTTAGTTGAGGGGGTATCCCTTTGTCCTGTTCTGGTTGTTCCTTTGTGTGTCTTGGTGCATTGTGTCCTAGCAAAGGACAAGTTGTGTGGTTGGTGACCTTGTGGCTGTCTGTATATCAAGGAAGTGGGACTGAATAAATTGTTTAGCTATGTTTGAGATGTCTCTTCTTCCCTGTTTTTGTTCCTTCTATGTCTAAGTTTCTATTTCATACCTGCCACAAGTTAAGTAGCAACATGGTAAACATCCACCAGCTCGCCTGTACTTTAACCGTCTTTCTCTTTCGTATCGGAAGGCACAAGAAGTGCAATCAAGTTGTTAGACAAAAAAATAATTCAATATAAATTTTTATCCACCTGTCCTCCATCTTCAAACTTAGAAGATAATCATTGAGTTACTAGACAAAACACCACACATGGAAAGAGTGGCATAGCCGGGGGGGGTGGGGGGGGGGGGGGGGGGAACTTATGGGGCTTAACCTCCCCCCTCCACTCCACTCCCCCACCCCCAGCCCATGTCAAAAAATATTCCTGGCTATGCCACTGCATGGAAACCACTTTGCTGCCTATATAAAAACTAAAGCAAATATTTTGCTACACAAGTTAATTTTATTTCCGAAGTAAGCTGAATTACAATGCGATTCTTAGGCTTTGCTATTTTGAAGGACTATTCATGCCTTTAACACCACAGTGTGTCGGCAGCAAGAAACAAAAAAGAACAAGGTAAAAGGATTCTTGCTGGCTAAGACACCTGATCACTAATCAGCAGTCAGATACTATTACAGCCAGTCAGCCAGCCAGCTAAGACAAGGCGAAATATTGCTGCACTCCCCGTTCCTCAGTAACATCCTCATCAGCAGTTCGAGATAGCATACCAAAACGCACACTGGCACGTAGAAGGAAGCAGGATACCAGAGTGGCTGACCATGCACCTCCGGCCAAGAGCAGCTCAGGGGCAAACACCGAAGCGAGTACACTTCTACATAATCTTTGATTCACATTTTGTTGCTTTGCAACCTACAGTTACCATCATGACAATGTCAGATTCCAGAACCAGCAGCAAGTGAGGATGTGTGCCGAGATGGAAAAAAACAAAAAAAAAAAGGAACAAAGAAAGAGCGCTTAAGGTGATCAAAACAAAGAACACTCACCATTCCCTTGCCACGAATCTTAGAGCTGCACACGTCCGTTACCACGGCTGTGCTCAAGCTAATGTTGCCCTTGCTAACTCCTCCAATTATCCGTGAGATCACAAACAAGGTGAAGTTGTTGGAGATGGCCCATACAGCGTAGGAACATGCAATGCCACACTGGAATGAAACAGAAAGCAGGTATTGGAAACTGCCTTGCAGTCTTTTTCCATTCATGTACAATACCTTTTCTTCATGTGGTCCACAAAGTACTATGCTCCACAAAAGCAATTTCCTCAAACCTCATTATTTTTAGCAGCACAGTCATGACCTGAGCCTTTTACTAATCACTAAACTCATTCTTGAAAGGAGCCTCCCGGAAGTTTCAGAGGGGCCGCCAGACGTTTTGCTAACCAATTTAGTTTTAGAGCAGACGTAACAATATCCGTTGCACTCAAAAAGGCATGTAAATTCTGAAAACTATAGTATCTACAAAGAAAATCATCAAGGATGCTATCCCAATAACCACATGCAATCAGATTCAAGTTGCTGGATACCACCATGAGTAAATGTGCGTGGTATAGGAGGGTGAAAGTAATAAAAATCAAGAAAACAGTAACATCCCCATATTCAGGCAATGTTCCACTCCAGCAACACATACCGTTGTGATCACAAGCATCAATTTCCGCCCATAGACGTCCGATAATGACCCAATCATGGGTGCTGTAAGGAACTGCAGGAATGAGTAGAGCGAGCCAATACAGCCTAGAAAGATAAAAGCAATAGATTAGTAATAGCAAGCACATACCATAAAATGAGTGATATTTTGAAGAGTGACTTAAAAAGAAGCTGAAGCACTTTTAAAAAAATCTGAGTTAGAAGCGGACTTCTATAGCTTTTTGTCCCATGAATTCAATTGTCCCACTTATCTTAGGCAGAAGTAAACGTAAACTGCATTTATTTTGAAAAAGATGTGCAGAGATTGCTGCCGGACAGGCAGCGATTCTCTCTGCCACCCGTTATCTGTCCAGAACGTTGTGACGTCATCATCGGCATCCCCGGGCCAGCTTAGTGGCGAGCAAGGGTCATCTGACACCGCTGATGACGTCACTTTTGCTAGTTTTGTTTACTGTGGGAGTTGGTATCTCGGCCCTTCTGAAGTAAAGACCAAAAAAAAAAACGCTTTTGCCTGCATGTCCAAGTTTTTATTTAAAAAATGACAAAGATTGAGTTTTTTGGCACCTCTCAACTCCTTCACCATCTTCCGAGTCACTTGCACTGTGACGCGAAAGGGGGACGGCCGGGGTTCTGGTGAAGCTCTCTCTCTAGCACCATCACTGAGCAGCGAAAACTCTGACCACGTGGTCACGTGATCGCACCCGGTCGGCATTGCCTACATTCGCGGTGGCGTACGAAGCCGAGACACCGGCAAACGAAAGGAAGAAAGTGCCAACGTGGTTGTCTGGATCCGGATCTGTCCGTCCGGTTTCTGGCAGCTCATCGCGGTAGCAGAGAGCAAACAGTTATGTTGAATTCGGATAGATGGTGCCCATGAAACTCCGTATCATACAAATTTTGTCAATGATACCAGGTCTTTTATGCATTTATTTATTATATATATATATATATATATATATATATATATATATATATATATATATATATATACAAAGTTGAAAATCCCAAGTCAGAGAAACAAAAACACGGAAGGTTTATTTCAACGTTTCGGCAAGAGTCTTGCCTTCGTCAGGAATGGCGACAAAGTTCATGCGTGACTCGTTTTATCCAAATCCTTAAAAAAGAGAGAGGGGGAGGGGAGGGGACATCATTTGGAGGTCACAAGAAAGCATGATAACAATAACAAGAATAACAATACAAAAAAAAAAAAAAGGGGGAGAAGCAACTAGACCCGACAAGATGATGAGGGTTTCACCAGATAAACATACAAAGGGCGTATAAGTCAACAGTACTACAGTAGAAAGAAAGTGGTAACAATGCATGACCTAAATATTGTTCTCAATGCAATATGAGGAGTTAGCGAACGGAAGCTCTTGGAATGGGCCAGAATACAGAACTTAAAAAGAGGGGAGGGGGGGGGGGGGGGGGAGAGACACGGACACTGGTTATATATATATATATATATATATATATATATATATCAGTGTGTCAAACCCAAAAAAATATGGGTTCGGTTCAGGTTCAGGTAAATTTATTTTGTTCCGGTTCAGTTCCGGTTAGATTAATTCTATCTGCGAACCGGTTCGCGAACCGGTTCGGAAATTATAAATGACAAATTGCAACATCAAAATAACAAAATCAAAATAACATAAAAATAACATAAAAAAAATTGCAACATCACGTTCTAGAAATGTGTTATGAAATGAGCACACAGCAGCATTTAGGATTTACGAGATTGTAGTAAAATGAAATCCCGTGACGCAATTTTTTTTTTTTTTTTTTTGCACAGCTTTTTAATTTTTTTTCTTCCGTGCAAGTCGCGACCAGCGCAATACTGGTTCCTATGTCAAGATTCATGAATGCAGCGTTTGTCAAGATTCATGGATACAGCGTTTATATTCCTAAGACTGAGTGGAGAAGAAAAACATGTAAGCGAGGTGTGTGTCAGTTGACGGCACTTAAAAAACAAATGACAGTGATAGCACATTCATTGAAAACAGCGCGTGGCCGAACCGTTTTGACATGAGCCGGTAACCGTTATTTTTTTTCCGATTCAGTTCTGGTTCGGGTTCATCACGATGACAATATAACGGTTCGGGTTCGGGTTCAGTTCCGGAAAAAATACCGGTTCGGTTCCGGTTTTCGGTTCGGTTCTGGTTCGACACCCTGATATATATATATATATACTCTTTTTTTTTCATTTGCTTGCTGTTTGCTACAAAAGACCTCATGGACCTCATCAAGCCGACATGTCAAATTTTTGTTCTGCCTGCAGTGCCTGTATTATTGTACAAACACAATAAAAATGATTGACTAAAAAAAAAAAAACAAGTTGGAACGACGAGATTTATAGAAAAATTACCTTCTATTGAGCAGGTAGTTGCATTACTTGCTATTTTTTTTACAAGCCCACCTTTAATGTCACGCCGCGTGGTTCTCCTAGCCGCTGCTCGCGGCTGCAGGTCGGGAAATATTATATTTTTCGCCTCACGATTACGCGGCGGAATCGCAACATTTCAAAGGAAGGGAAAATGTTTTCTGTCCTTTGTGACAAGATAAACAATGTGAAAAGCGCAAGATGTAAATTCTTTCACTGTTAAAATCGTTGCACACCTTCTTTAAAGCAGCGAAAGATATGAGGTTGAGTTCCTCCAAAACAGGAGAGATCTTGCTACACAGAAGCTTTCAGAACAAGAGCCTACATTTTACAATCTTGGTTCCACTACTATATTTCAAGTGAAATGTAGAATAAGAAGCTCCAGCCACACGAAAATACAAACACAAAGTATGATCTTTAGAAGCCTTGCACTAAGCTTTGCTGGCATGCCAAATGGAGACTTCTCACGGCAGTGGAAGGGTTAACGTAGAGACAATTTCCGTCTTTAGATATATTTACATCATAAATATTATTTCTGAAAATAAAACTGCAGATTCATACTAGCATTCTACACATTATCAAAATAGACAGTAACCTACAAGCCCTTTAAGTAAACATGCCAGAAAACTTAAATATAGCAAGTTCTAGCATTGGCCTTAAATATGTTATAAAATAAAAATATAATAAGACTTTTGTTACTGAATACCTTTCAAAATAGTAGTACAAAGGCATAAATACTGTATAAATAGCATCTGCTATAGTACATGCAGCTGTAAAATAACAAAGAATTGGCACAGACAGGGCACAAGACCAATTGTGTAAGCCTAACACACAACACTCTACCAGTACCCTCTGAATGTGTTAAGTGTTCAATTACATAAAGCTTTGTATACCTCCAAACAGGACTTTGTTCTGGTTGCTAGGCACTCCAATGAAGTCCTGCAAGGATTGAATCTGGCCTTCAAGCCAGGGATACAACCCATTCTGTAAAACAAAAAAAGGGGAAAGCAAACAGTGAGACAGATACCACACACACCTGAGACCGAAAAAGAAAGACAAGGGGTGTTTCATTTTACCCCACTTTTACTGAAAACTGGGTTAATATAGACATGGTCGCTTGTCCGGTCAGATCGGTAAAAACCAAGATGGTGGCCAATAAAGAGCTTTGAAGGCAAAGTGAACAGAATCAGAGAAAGCACATTTATTTTCGCACGATATCACCGTCATTGCCACTGGCAGTCCTGAGGATGCCGCAACGGGGCAAATTTTTTCGGCTGATGCTGGCACTTAGGAGGGGGTGCGCGCTTAACATTTAATTTGTAGAATTTCCAAGTATGAGAAATGATAATAGTGGGCGCATGTAAGAAGTGGGTGCAATTCTGAGGTATTTTACGGTAATATTAATAGAGGCTGTGTTACACAAAATAGAACAATAGAAAAATCTTAACATTAAATGTTTTTCTTTGTTTATAATCATTACCAAGCTCACTTCTTACTTATTTCTTCCAGATCCAAAGAATTGCTGAAGCATAATTTCTAAGTGCAATTCAGAATCAACTTTATTTAAATTTAACATTTTTTTTACTTTTAAAGCACCGAAAAGGAGCTTAGAAGTCATTTCAAGAGCTAGGATGAACATAATGTAGCAGCAAACCCTGAATATGTCAATTTAATCTCCATCTAATCTTGCTAATGGCAGCCAGAGCTGTAAAAGTAACAGATTTACAGTTACATAAAGTGGAATGTAATCAAGTTACAATTACCAACAGTTAAAAATGTACTTTACAAAGTTGCATTAAAGTTACTTGGAAAAGATCTAGAAGCTGTGTCAACCTTATTTGGGCTTAGTCATTGCCGACTTACCACTCCATTCCCAGTGGTGAAAAAGATAGCAGCTGAATCTGGTTTCAGTTCAACACACCACTCGTGATACATTTAGAGGCCATTGTATAGGGTGTTCCAAGTCACCAGGCTCGATCTAAAATGAGTCGTAAAAATTGACGCCTGCACGTAACAATCTAAACTTTTCGTCAAAGGTGTATTTCACAGGTTGTTTTTGTCTTGTAAAATTACAAAGCGTAGCTCTCTTTCTGTAAAAAAATAGGGCCAAGAAACTTGCCAGGGT